ACCAGACATTTACAACACCCCCCTCACAAAAAAGGCCCTTCGCATTGCGGCTGATCCCACTCACCCAGTGCAAAGCCTCTTCGAGCTGCTGCCATCAGGGAGGAGACTGCGGAGTCTCAAGGCCAGGACCAACAGACTGAAGGACAGCTTTATCCATCAGGCAGTTAGGAAGCTTAACTCCCTCCCGGCTCTCCCACCTCTCCTCTCTTTTCCCCCAGAGTCTCTCTGAACTTGGTTACTGTTTTTACACAAAATGTTTATTTTCTACCTAGCGAGAGTTTGAGAGTAACGTAATTTCATTTCTCTGTATGTCCTGTACATGAGGCAGAAGTGACAATTAAACTGACTTTGACTTTGATAATAAGATAAACAAAGGCAGGCATGTGTGGCTTTTGGAGACTCTGAACCACATTATTTTATTAAATTGCTGTATGTGTCCTCATAAGGCGCATTCGGACTGTAGGAACCTTTTGTAGTTCCTAGGACCTTTCCAGCCCCCTTTTGCGTGCGTTCGACAGTAGGAACTAGGAACCTTTTACCGTAGTTCCTAGAACCATTTTAGCTCCTACTCTTGAGGATGGGACTTTCTGTGGTTCCTACGGAACTAACGCGATGTCTGCGCTTAGTGAGCTACGCCCCTTGCTTGATTTCTGCATCTTTTCTGTTCCGGATCATGTTTGTTTATTTAGAAACAGACGGGACTACATCCCGGATACTCCTGCTGCCGCTAGCACATCTCGCCAAAACTGAACAGGTAAATAAAACCTAGGCGTTAAGGCGTTAGAAAGTGTTTTGTTTCTTCTCTTGACATGACATAAAGAAATTGTCCATTTTGGGATTAAATCACAGAGCGAAAGTCGCCGAGAGCGAGCATGCTTGTGTGACAGATGGCCGTTTGTTCTCTATGAGCGCTGCACTCCTCCTCCCCACGTAAACCGTCCTACCCGTTGTTCCTGAGCATGTGCGCGCATGCGCACAACACAAAAAGGGAATGCACGTTGTCATATTTGCAGGAAAATAGGTAAGTTGTAAGTATTACTACTTTTTATTGACGTTGATACTTGATTTTTTGAGTTAGGGTTTGTCATGTAAAACACCGTAAAATTATCCTACGGGTAGGACGTTTTGCCAAAGTAGGACGTTTTCTCAGAACACCGGCTCTTTAAAAGCCCCGATTGTGTCCAGCTGCGCGAGAGCGTTTACCTGGTGTCCTGACAGACAGGTGGGGCAGCGTGTCTGAGCTGTACACTGGGTGAATGGAGGATTATTTTTACGGGTAAGGGATCCTTTTAGTTTTTATACAATTGTTTGGAAAGGCTGTGGCTTTCTGCTGCGTGTGTGTGTGTGTGTGTGTGTGTGTGTGTGTGTGTGTGTGTGTGTGTGTGTGTGTGTGTGTGTGTATAAATGCACTGTAGGATCAGTGGTGTGGATGTGCCGATTACCCATTGTCTGTGGGCCCTTCCCATGAAACATAACAGGTAAGCGTGTGCTGATTAATTGAAAAAGAAGGAAATCAGCAGTTTAATAATTATTTCCTTCCTTTTAAAAGAAAGCGCTGGCACTGCTGTTTTTGTTCAGTTGATTATTTTGTTATACTTATTTTTCCTTTTATGAAACTCCTAATGTTTTCATTGTGAGTAACTTTTAGAAAGGGGGTCTGTGACGACTAGAAGGTTGGCTGTGGAGGGCCGCATACGTGAGAGGGCTCAGCCGTATTACCAGTTGGTGTGGATAATAGTGCATGTTTTTATTCTTTTTCTTGTTTGCATGATTGCCGTGTGTATTAAGTAAATGCATGTTACACAGCCCTGGTTGTTTTGCCTCCCTCCTCCAGCAGAAGGTGTCATTAGTCCCCTCTGGGGTTTTTAACTGTCTTGTTCCTTTTTTTATATATAGAACTTGCTTCATGCATTGTGTGTAAATAAACTCAAGTTTGGAGGAAGACATTGTCTCAGCCCATTGTTTGATCTAGCGTGATCACTCTCCGTACCTAAAATAATAACAGTCATGGGGCTCTAGGTTCACACTTGTACCAAATTAATATGTAGTCAATTCACTTTCTTTTGGTGAATTTCTACTTTGTTCTTGATCGTCGCACGTGTGAACCATGTGCACGAACACATTCAGTGCAAACACACACGCACACGTGCAGTTAAATGTCTTAAATAGTGTGCATTAATTTTATATTACAAGCAGTAGAGTTATCTGTAATATGTTTTAATGGTGGGCTGGTTTTATTAATATGTGTGATAGGCTGGCCGATCAACTGGTTGAGACGCCAACCAGTCCTGCTACATCTACATACAAACAGTCCAAAGAACTGGGTGTGAGCGTAGCCTCTTTGTTGCCCTCCACATACGGCCCCTTGAACACCCAGATGGTCTGTTACACATACGTTTCTGGTTCTGATCAAGTGGCCAAGCAGTCAACAATATTTACATACAAACAGTCCCAAGTCAATACATATGTCTGTGGTCCCAAGAACTGGGTGTGAGTGTAGCCTCCTTGTGGTCCCCCTACAACATGATGAACACGGGCTTTAAAAACTCTGGACATCTCCTGTGATTTAGATTCATCATATATTTCCCCCAGTTTCAGCTGAGTGTCTCATTTACTAATAAAACATGATTGTGAACTCTCTCTCAAGTCAAGTTTATTATATAGCCCATTCCATACACAAAACCGTAGCACAATCTGCTTCACATAGTTAAAACAATCACAAGTGAAATGAAACAGTTAAAATGTCACATCATGTTGTGTAAAATAAAATCAAAGAATACGGACACAGAACATTGTACACAAAAATAAAAGCATATTAAGTACAATTATTGGCAGCACTTTACTTACATGGTAATTACTTAGTAAGTTAGTGTATTATAGTTTCTGCGTTCTTAAACTGTTATTACCATGTAACTCAGGTTTAATTCTAGTTTTTATTTTATTAATAATTCCTATTATATACTGCTTTACAGAATAACTACACTTTATTACAACTATCCACTTGAATTACACAATAATACACAATAAAACAGCACAGAATAGGTATACATATAAAATACATATAGAATAAATTTAACACAGTACAGATAAAGACCTAGTAGAGCACAGATGCAAGGATAGATGAATGGAAGGCATCATGAAAAAGTTTAGTTTTTAATCTGGATTTAAAAATGGAAATGGTGGGAGAGGTTTTGATGTCTATTGGAAGACAGTTCCAGAGACGGACCGCATAGCAGCTAAAGGCAGCCTCTCCGTGCTTGGTGCAGGCTCTGGGTTGTACCAGTTGGGATTTATCTGCTGACCTAAGTGATTTTGAAGGGTGATACGTTTCAAACATCTCTGCTATACAGGTGCTGGCCAGTAAATTAGAATATCATCAAAAGGTTGAAAATATTTCAGTAATTCCATTCAAAACGTGAAACTTGTACATTATATTCATGCAATGCACACAGACCAATGTATTTCCGATGTTTATTACGTTTAATTTTGATATTTATAGGTGACAACCAATGAAAACATCAAATCTGGTATCTCAGAAAATTAGAATATTCTAAAGGCCAATGAAAAAATGTTTGTTTCTCTAATGTTGGCCAACTGAAAAGAATGAACATGAAAAGAATGTGCATGTATAGCTCTCAATACTTAGTCGGGGCTCCTTTTGCCTCAATAACTGCAGTAATGCGGCGTGGCATGGACTCGATCAGTCTGTGGCACTGCTCAGGTGTTATGAGAGCCCAGGTTGCTCTGATAGTCGTCTTCAGCTCCTCTGCATTGTTGGGTCTAGCGTATTGCATCCTCCGCTTCACAATACCCCATAGATTTTCTATGGGGTTAAGGTCAGGCGAGTTTGCTGGCCAATCAAGGACAGGGATACCATGGTCCTTGAACCAGGTGCTGGTGGTTTTGGCACTGTGTGCAGGTGCCAAGTCCTGTTGAAAGGTGAAGTCTGCATCTCCATAAAGTTGGTCAGCAGCAGGAAGCATGAAGTGCTCTAAAACTTCCTGGTAGACGGCTGCATTGACCCTGGACCTCAGGAAACAGAGTGGGCCAACACCGGCAGATGACATGGCACCCCACACCATCACTGACGGTGGAAACTTTACACTGGACCTCATGCAACGTGGATTCTGTGCTTCTCCGCTCTTCCTCCAGACTCTGGGTCCTTGATTTCCAAAGGAAATGCAGAACTTGCTTTCATCAGAAAACATAACTTTGGACCACTCAGCATCAGTCCAGTCCTTTTTGTCCTTGGCCCAGGCGAGACGCTTCTTGCGCTGTTTCTTGTTCAAGAGTGGCTTGACACACGGAATGCGACACCTGAATCCCATGTCTTTCATGAGTCTCCTCGTGGTGGTTCTTGAAGCGCTGACTCCAGCTGCAGTCCACTCTTTGTGGATCTCCCCCACATTTTTGAATGGGTTTGTCGTCACAATTCTCTGCAGGGTGCGGTTATCCCTAGAGCTTGTACACTTTTTTCTACCACATTTTTTCCGTCCCTTCGCCTGTCTGTTAATGTGCTTGGACACAGAGCTCTGCGAACAGCCAGCTTCTTTAGCAATCACCTTTTGTGTCTTGCCCTCCTTGTGCAAGGTGTCAATGATTGTCTTTTGGACAGCTGTTAAGTCAGAAGTCTTCCCCATGATTGTGGTGCCTTCAAAACAAGACTGAGGGACCTTTTAAAGGCCTTTGCAGGTGTTTTGAGTAAATCAGCTGATTAGAGTGGCAGCAGGTGTCTTCTATATTCAGCCTTTTCAGAATATTCTAATTTTTTGAGATACCAAATTTGGAGTTTTCATTAGTTGTCACTTATGAATATCAAATTTAAATGTAATGAACATTGGAAATACATTGGTCTGTGTGCATTGCATGAATATAATGTACAAGTTTCACGTTTTGAATGGAATTACTGAAATATTTTCAACCTTTTGATGATATTCTAATTTACTGGCCAGCACCTGTATACAGAGGTCGTTGGCCATTTAATGATTTAAAAGTAAGTAAAAGGTCTTTGAAATCAATCCTGTAAGTTACTGAAAGCCATTGTAAATATTTTAAGATTGGTGTGATGTGATCATTTCTTTTGGTTCTGGTTTCTTGCTCTCTGTCTCTCTGCTCTGTGTAATGCACAGCCTTCAGACATGCGGAGAAAAAACCTACAAGATGCAGAAAAAAAGGATAAACCTCCAACCTTAATATTGTCAGCAATAAACGCAGCAAAACTTAACTTTAGAATTTAGACTTTTGTGTTTTCATCACATTTAGCTTGTATTTTATATAACATATAATCAGCTTTACAGGTTAGCTGTTCCTGTGTGCTTAAAAAGTTATGTTACTAACCTTCTAAAAAAAACACCCAATCATTCACATGAAGTAGATTTGTTATTCATTATCTGAAAGTATCTGATTAGTTTCAAAACCTAAATGTTTTGTTTAATTTGGTTTACAGAATGTCACTAGTTTACTTTTACTTTTAAAATATATATATACTGATGTACTGAAATACAGAGAAATCAACTTGTGAGTACAGTGCTTGTTAATGTAGTAAGTATAGCATTTTTAACATAAGCACATTCACACATGGAAAGTATCAATGTAAATAAATCATATGGCAGTAACTCTGCTGTACTTTCATTGTGTACAAGTAGCTCAAGGGCCAAAAAAGGTTGGAGACCCCTGCAATAGATCGTTCAGCCCTAGTGGATGCTTAGATGATTAATTAATGTTTTCTTTAAGCGAAATCTTCGTCCACAGAGCTCAGAAGCAAAAGGCTTCTGTCCTTTAAGGACTCTTTTGTGACCGTTTGAATTGATCTTTTGGTTAAATCTTTTCCACCGAAAAAAAGCAAAATGCCTGTGTGGACTCTCATGTGTCTGTTTAAATGCGTTTTTTGGCTAAATATTTTTACACAGAGCTCACAGGCGAAAGGCTTCTGTTCCTTGTGGACTCTCATATGACTGTTTAAAGTTGTCTTTCGGCTAAATCTTTTTACACAGAGCTCACAGGCGAAAGGCTTCTGTCCTGTGTGGACTCTCATGTGTCTGTTTAAATGTGTCTTTTGGCTAAATCTTTTTACACAGAGCTCACAGGCGAAAGGCTTCTGTCCTGTGTGGACTCTCATGTGACTGTTTAAATTTGTCTTTTGGCTAAATCTTTGTCCACAGAGCTCACAAGGAAAGGGCTTCTGTCCTGTGTGGACTCTCATGTGAATGTTTAAAGTTGTCTTTCGGCTAAATCTTTTTACACAGAGCTCACAGGCGAAAGGCTTCTGTCCTGTGTGGACTCTCATGTGACTGTTTAAAGTTGTCTGATGGCTAAATCTTTGTCCACAGAGCTCTAAGGCAAAAGGCTTCTGTCCTGTGTGGACTCTCATGTGACTGTTTAAATTTATCTTTTGGCTAAATCTTTGTCCACAGAGCTCACAAGGAAAGGGCTTCTGTCCTGTGTGGACTCTCATGTGAATGTTTAAAGTTGCCTTTCGGCTAAATCTTTTTACACAGAGCTCACAGGTGAACAGCTTCTATCCTGTGTTGACTCTCATGTGACTGTTTAAAGTTGTCTTTTGGCTAAATCTTTGTCCAAAGAGCTCACAGGCAAAAGGCTTCTGTCCTGTGTGGACTCTCATGTGACTGTTTAAAGTTGCCTTTTGGCTAAATCTTTTCACACAGAGCTCACATGCGAAAGGCTTCTGTCCTGTGTGGACTTTCATGTGACTGCTTAAATTTGAGTTTTGGCTAAATCTTTTTAAACAGAGCTCACAGGCGAAAGGCTTCTGTCCTGTGTGGACTCTCATGTGTTTGTTTAAAGTTGTCTTTTCGCTAAATCTTTTTACACAGAGCTCACAGGTGAAAGGCTTCTATCCTGTGTGGACTCTCCTGTGACTGTTTAAAGTTGTCTTTTGGCTAAATCTTTGTCCACAGAGCTCACAAGGAAAGGGCTTCTGTCCTGTGTGGACTCTCATGTGTTTGTTTAAAGTTGTCTGATTGCTAAATCTTTGTCCACAGAGCTCACAAGCAAAAGGCTTCTCTCCTGTGTGGACTCTCATGTGTGTGGTTAAATTAGTCTTTTGGTGAAACCTTTGTCCACAGTGCTCCCAGGCAAAATGTTTCTCCTTTGTGTGGACTCTCATGTGTTTGTTTAAATGTGTTTTATGGCTAAAGGATTGAAACCTGGCAGCATCAGTCTCCTTATTCAAATGGAGATGCTCTCCCTCCATACTAGACCAGAGTTTCTCTGTTCCTCCTTTATGTGGAGAAAATCTAGGTGCTGGTGGTTGACACGAGCACTCAGTTCATCCGAAGCTTCTTATTTAACCAGAACCACCTGTTGAAAATCTGTAGGAAACATAGAAACATATTATGTGAATGACAGACAGCTGTAACTTTGTTTTCACACATAAAACAGTTGTATTATTTCTTTAAACTGACAGTAGAATGAAATGTATTTACAATTGGAAACTGAACTTTGAGCCTCTATAAATCATTTGAGACTTAACCCTCAGGCTTCACTTTAATTTTCATACAAAAGAGTCATTAGGACAAAAACGTACGCTTGTAAAAGTGGCTATAAAAATGTATACATTAATGGGTTTTTTTTTAACTTTTTTTTCATAAATCTGTTGAACAACTTCAGCCCTGCTCAAACATAAAAAAAATTCAATCATTTTGAGGCTTTCAACCCCTGAAATGCCAGTTTGAATACTCAGTCATTGATGTAATTTATGAAAAAGAAAAGAAAAAAAAACCACTAAAACAGAGTTATTTTCTAAAAAAGACATCTTTTTTGCCTGGGGTGTTTAGTACAAATCAGTCTTGATTATGTTATGAAAAATCTAAAAGTTTGAATTCTTTGCACTTTATAGCAACAGAATTAAAATTTACTATACACTCGAACCATTAGAGGACAAAAACGTCCATTTTTAAAACAGCTTTAAAAATGGTCCAGATTAGGGCTGGGCGATATGGACCAAAACTTATATCTCGATATCTTTTAGCTGAATTCCGATATACGATATATCTCAATATTTTTCCTCCTAACCCTAACAGTATTGACTCCTATCAGCGATTATACTGTAATGACTAAGAGGCTCTGGTTGCTCATTTATGAGTATTAATTTCGGGCTACTGTTGCCGTAACCCACGCCTTACAAACTCTTCACTTTTTCTACAGAATCATTCGTAACAGAGTATTTACTAGCATAGCAAACCAGAGCGGAAAAAAACGGAACAACATTTCTCACCCGTTGAGCTAACCTTCAAAATAAAACGGTAACCCTATAGTTTACTATTCAAACCCTTACAATACGTTTGAGGTAATTTGGCAACTCCGGCTATCCGTAGTTGTTTCCTCATTACAAAGGGGAGGGAGGGGTTTGGCCATCTCTCCGTACAAGCAGGATGGAAAACAGAACTCCGTTGACGTTAAACGTCCCCAAATAATTTAAAACCAGGACGCCAAATGCGAAGTTTAGAGCAGCACATTTACCCAGAGCCTCTCAGATTGACCAAACTTGTAAGAATACATGTAAACGCCGCTTAAAGACGGAGCAACATGTCAGTAGCATAGCGGCTAATCGCTAGCATAGCAGTTTGACCAGTTATATTGACATAAAGATATAAAATCATCTTATATCTTGTTTCAAAATTATACCAATATTTTAAAAATATCGATAAATCGCCCAGCCCTAGTCCAGATTAATATTTTTTTCTGCTTTTTGGGTCTAAATCTTGGGATCAACTTCAGTTCTGATTTGAAAAAATCAAATGTTGAGTGTTTATCTAAATTTTAACCCTTTATATGCCAGTTTGATTATGTGCATTTCATCTGGCACTCGAGGAGTACAGACGCTTCCCTCTTTCGCTACCTTATCTTTTTTTTTCCCAAGGCTCTTTGTCCTGTCTGCCCACAGAGCGCTTCTCTGCATTTCTTCTGAAAATCTCTTATTTTTTACTAACCATGGATTTGATAAGCTGGTCATTCAATGCGATCGATAAGATTTTTTCAACAATGAGAACGGAGAAAAAAGGTTGAGTCACGTGGGTGCAGCTTCCAAGATGGCCGCAAGCTAGGGAGCTCTCTTCCCCGCACATGCTACTAACAGGGTTTTAGCTGAAAAACGCAACTATACTGGTGGAATATTGTTCCTTGGGAGTACTGAGTCTCCGTATGTTTGATATTTAGTCTGAAAAGATTACAAAGCTATGTCGACGTCGTCGAAATATTTTAAAAGCTCGTCACGAGCGTGTACCCGGAAAGGCCAGGTTCACGAAGACGACAGCGATGCGGGAGAAAACCCAGCACCCATGACTGCGACAGTCAGCCTGGAAAGACTTTGCAGAAATATCGAAAATGAGTGAAATGCTCCAGAATGTTGCGACAGATGTCGTGTCTATTAAACAGGCTACTGCCGAGCTGACTACGACGGTGACAGCAATGCAGGAGAGGCTCGGTGAGGTCGAAACACGAATTACGCAGCTGGAGGAGACGTCAGAACGGCTTCAGAAAGATAAGGAAAGTGGGAACAAACAAATGGAGAAGATGTGGAACCGGATACAAGCCCTCGAGAACCACAGCAGGCGAAATAATGTGAGACTGGTGGGACTAAGAGAGACCTTTGGAACCAACGGAATGTTGCCTGAATGCGTGTGGAAGATCCTGGCTGAGGGCCTCGGCGTGAAGATGGAGCGGGTGCACAGACAGATGGCGCCAATGCCGAATGAAGGGCAATCCCAGAGGCCGGTACTGATCCGCTTCTTGAGGCAGTCGGCGTGGGACAAGGTGATCGGCGCTGCTAAGGAGAAGCAAGGGATTGTTTGGGAGGGATGCCGCCTCTCTGTGTTCCCGGACATGTCGAAGGAGCTGGCGGAGAGACGGAAGGCCTTCGCCTCGGTAAAGCGTAAATTGCAAGATCTGGATATTAGATACACTCTGGCTTTCCTGGCGACGCTGCATTTCAGATGAAAGGGAAAAAATGTGAGCTGCAACACTGTGGAATCAGTGGAGAAGATAATAAAGGAGCAGTGAAGGAGGCAATGTGAACTTCAGAGGAAGGTGAGCTGCCTACTTCAAAATCTGTGCATTCTGGTTGAACTGATAAGAGCAGTGCGGGATGATGAAGAGCTTCCCGGCACATTGGACGGTTACCATGGGAACGGCGTTAATCCCGCGGACCATGACGAGGTTTATTATTTTTTTTTTCACATGGTTTTTCAACACCGAAGAGAGTTTACCACATGGACACTGGTTGTCTAGGAACAGCCGGATATTTTTTTTTTGTCTTTATTTTTTTTTGTTGTCTGGGTTGTTCTATGTTCTGTGGGTTCAGAAGAAGGCTGGTATAAATTTGTTAATGTAGATGTTGGAAACGGGATTATTTTCTGCAAGGAGCTGAAGACAGTGGTAGCATTTAAAAGTTTAAATGTCTGACAGACAATTGAAGTTGATTTCTTGGAACATAAATGGATGCAGTAGCCCAATTAAGAGGAAAAAAGTTGTAACATTCTTGAAGAATAACCACGCAGATATTGTTTTTATACAGGAGACTCACATGCGGGAGCTTGAAGTAGGGAAATTCAAGGTGGGATGGGTGGGACATCTATTTCACAGCTCATTTTCGAGTAAATGTAATGGGGTTATGATCCTGGTCCACAAAAATGTGAGCTTCATTTTACGAAAGCAAAGTAAAGATACAGAGGGCTGAATTATACGTGTGGAAGCAGTAATAGAAGGTGTAACTGACGTTGAAATGTTTGTGTTGGTTGCCATGACAACACCAGCAGCGCATCGGAGATCGGTACGTTGTCTCTGTTTTGTTTTCTTTTTGGTACTCATATTGTGTACCTGTGCAGTGGAGTGATACATCTTTCTTATAAGAAATGTTTCTGTTGAGATTGTTGTGAGGTAGTCGCTTCCTGTGAGTCGTGGGAGAGACGACACGAAGCCGTAACACGGCGGACTTTTGGAATACACATCTTTTCTACTGCTGGGTTTACAAGGCGTACACGGTAAAAAACGTTATACTGTTCTTTGTTTAACACTTGTGCACTTTGTGAAAAGAAATAAGTGGCTGAGATGAATATCATATATGCTATTGATATTAATTTACTTGTTTCTAGTTTTCACGGTGCTCCATGATTGTGAGAGAGAAATAAAAGAATTGTGGACATCAGTATGAAGCGTGGATTCTTTCGACCCGAGTAGAAACAGTGAAAACGTTGGCCCAATCCATCTGGAGGCTTCGGTGTGCAGAGCTCTCGTCATCCTGCAGCAAGCTACAGTGAGCTACAGGCTTCAGTGGACATGTTGCTTTGCATTTTGGAGCAACCAATCAGGAGCTGCATATTCAGTGGACACTTAAAGAAGCGGTTTCAAGAAGCGTGAGTCATCAGGCTATATTACGCAGTTGTTATGCCTCCTGTGTTGATGGATAGAACATGAGCTACAAATTTGCTATAATGGACAAGAAATTAATTGTGTTCAAACTTCAGACTGTGTAACCAAAAAAAAAAAAGAAAAAAAAAAAGGACAATCTGTTCAAGTACTGGAACTTATTGTTGTTTTCTTACTTATTGTTTGCAAGCTTTAAGAAGGCTGAAACTGAAGTTTATTTACTGTCATATGTAAGAAACTAAGCTAAGGTGCCTTGTGTTAATTTTAATAATTCTCCACCTATTGCATCCATTCCATTCTTGTAATTACCTTAGATATCTTGTCCCTTCATAAGATACCCCTTTTAAAGTCTGAAAATGTCTAAAGATGACCATAGTCATCCTAATGTTATGTCAAAAGTACAAGATGCAGGGGATATGAAAGAGGAAAAAAGTGTAGTGTCTGAGAAATCTGAGACAAAAACAAGAAAATCCTCTTGTGAAAGGCGATTAACACCAAAAATGCAGGAACTGAAAGATCAAGAGTTAACTCAAAAGGAGAAGAGGTTCAAAGCAACATATGAGAAGTGGAGAAGCAACGTAAGAGACATTCGCACAAGGTTAAAGCAAGTATGCTCTGAGAGTGACATGTATAATATGATGGATGAGGCTGAGAAGCTAGAGTCTGAATTAAAGGAACAGTATGACAGAATTCGACTCCAAACCTCACCAAGTCAAGAAATTCGAAGAAAGATTGATGCATGCTCAGCCGTGACGGCCGACTTGCTGCAGCTGATGAGAGTACGTCTCACTGAAGATGAAGATGAATTTGACACAGTGGCAGAAAGATCAAGGTTACGCATGCTACTTGATAATGAATATGCTAGGTCCATATATGGATCCACAGCTTCCAGAGTTACTGCACCCAGCTGTCACAATTCTAAACATCTCTCAGAGTCACCTAGCATTTCGGCTATGAGGGAGGAAGCGGCTGCTCAGCTGGCTGCAAAGAGAGCCGAGGTTGATATGGAAGCTGCCATCGAAGCTCAACGTCAGCAGTTGAGAAAACTGGAAAACCAGAGGGACATTGATGTAATTCAGGCAAGGCTAAATGTCTACACTGAAGAAGAGGAAAGGGATGGGACACGCAGTCCTCCATTCAGCAAAGTGAGTGATGCACACCCCTTCGCTCACCACATCCCAGATCAAGAACAGCAGTGTTGGGGTAATTAGGAGCGAGTAATTAGTAATTAATTAATTACTTTTGGATTCTTCAATAAATTCTGTAAATATGGGAACATTTACCGATGTATTAATTAATTAAGATACTCTTACGTATCTACGGGGCACCATTCCCTTTAATTAGAAAGGGAAATGAATCCAAACTCTTATCAGTCTATCAAAAGGGTGGAATCCGTCAGGAGCAGAGACTTTGAATCGACACAAGAAATCTATTGGAGACAAATCTGAATTTTATAACATTTAATTAAACAAGGAGATTAATAATGCAAAACAATTTGATATAATTGGAGATGTGTGTGTGTGTAATGGAGGATGTCCCCACAAACACTAAAAACACGTATGAGTGTGTGTGTGAGTGTGTGTATGTGGTGTAAATGAATGGGTATTTGTTTCCCAGCGCAGGTGTGCGCGTGCATGTGAGTGCGTGTCTGATAAGGCTGGAGCAATGATTGTAAGCTGTGAGTGTGTGTGGGGCTCTTCCCCCCTCCCTCTCGCATACACAGGAGAACTTAGTGTGTCCATTTCTCCTTTCTAATGCAAAGGAAAAGTTTTTCTTAAACTCAGTTTCACAGTAATCTAACTTTAACACTTCAAAAGTTTAGACTCTTAAACAACAAAGGTCACTAATTATTTAATCTAAACAGAGTCGGCACCCTGGCCACAGCTTACCGACAACAACCCAGATTAAATAAACAATAAACAAAAGATCTTACTTCACGATATATATCTATAACGTGTTTGATTACGGAAGATAGAGAAAACCGTCTGATAATTTGAAGCAAGTCACGCGGTCGACTGCTTATCTTGGTCTAGAGGAGACGAGAAAAGGTAAAAGTTTAAATGAAATAAAAACTTGCAGGAGATAACAGCTGTTCCGGGGCAAAACAAGGCATCCCTGGTCAGATGATTTACTCCGTTGTTCCTCCCCACGAGTGTCTCTCCACGGAATCAGCTCAGCTGGAGAAATGCAGAAAAAGTAGATTTGCTTGCTGGGTTTCCAACCCAGCTTTTCAGCGTTCGGTGTTTGATCTGCTCCAGCAGCCAGCCTCCCGCTGGCTCACGTTGATCAGAGCAGCAGCA